TAGTTTGATTTTACTGCCTTTTGTGGCAGGAAATCACCATGATAATTAAATGAGTCCATAGTTGTCAAGCAAACTCATTGTTCATAGTGGGGCATTTTTGCCAAAACCCAGAAATAAATACAGTTTTTGCAAAAATGTCATAAATCCCAGTCATTTGATTAGGGCTGGATGCTAAAACATGTGAGGAACGGTCATATGAATTGGGTATGTCTGATTTAATGAAAACAAGGATTAGGGTGCCATGACAGCAGTGTTCCAATATTTGAGGGGCTGCCACAAAGAAGAGGGAGTTGAGCTATTTTCCAAAGCACCTGAAGGCAGAACAAGAAGCAATGGATGAAAACTAATCAAGGAGAGAAGCAACCTAGAACTAAGGAGAAACTTCCTGACAGGTGAGAATAATCAGCTTGCTTTGAGAAGTTGTGGGTGCTCCATCACTGGAGGCTTTTAAGAAGAGACCGGACAGCCATTTGACTGGAATGGTATAGGGATTCCTGTTTGAGCAGGGGGTTGGACTAGAAGATCTCTAAGGTCCTTTCGAACTCTGGTATTTGTTATCTGATTGCAGGGCACTGCAAACAGCTGTAAATGCATGCTAATTGCCAGGCACCTGAAATGCATTCACATGACTTCAGAACCAGATCATAAATACCTTTTGGGGGGACCAGTCATAAGTTTGAACAGTCACTAAGCGACCTGTCATAAGATGAGGACTGCCTGAATAGTAGTAGTATATGCAAATTCAGTGACATTTTATGTTGCATAGAATGTCTTTTCTTGCCCTTTCTTTGTCTCTTTCAAAACTCAGCCAGTGATCTAAAGCACTTTTGTTTCAGTCTTTTCAAAGCAGGCAGGAAAGAGCTTTTGAACTGTTTTTTTTTTCTGTGATTATGGGTAATTTCTTTTTATTCAATCGGTATAATAGCCATAGTAACTTTTGTTTTCAAAATAAAACCACAATTTTCTGCAATTGAGAGCTGATCAGTAATTAAAAGTTGTCAAGCGTTTAATATTTTTATTGCAACAGTTTTTATAGGTGAACTATTTAAAAAGTCAGAATGCTAAAGGAAATGACAAATTTCCTTTTCCGTAAGAGAGAAAAAATTGTGCTGCCTGTTATAAACTATGTTATTTTCCTGCACTTGTTTTTTGTTGAATTCTATTGCCTCATTTCATAAGGATTCCAAAGACCTTTATCTTGATTTTTAATGAATATGTTTCTATTAGACTAGATGTTTCAACCTATGCAGGTAGTCCTCATAACCATTATTGAACCCAGAATTAAGGTCATAAGTCAGGCCGGTTGTTAAGCAGGTCATCATATGACCACTTTTACAACCTTTTTCTGCAGTGGTCGTTAAGCAGATGTGGCAATCATTAAGCAAATTGTCCACAGTGGGCACTTTTTGCCAGAAACTGGAAGTAAATGCTATTTTCCAGCAAAAATAATAATAATAATGTAAATCATGTTCATGTGACTACACGATGTTATAAACAATCATGAATATAGCCCAGTTGTCAAGCACCCAAAATGCGATTACATGATTGTGGGGAGAGACCAACAGTCAGAGCTTTGAATCCGGGTTGTAAATAGTCTTAATGAAGTCTGTCATAACACTGAACAGTCATTAATAGCAATAGTACTTATACTTAACACATACCACTTCACAGTGCTTTACAGCCCTCTCTAAGTGGTTTACAGAGTCAGCATATTGCCCCCAACAATCTGGATCCTCATTTTACCTACCTTGGAAGGCTGAGTCAACCTTGAACTGGTGAAAATGGAACTCATAGAGTCATCAGAATTAGCCTGTAATACTGCATTCTTACCACTGTGCCACCACAGCTCATTAGGGGACCAATCGTAGGTCAAGAACTACTTGTAAAATGTCAAGCAATATTCCATCTCACTTGGCTTCTGTAGGGTCTGGCTGACGTCAGTTATTATGACTGGGGGAGATTTTCAAAAACTGCTTATTATAAGACAGGTTCCCAACCCCCAGTCCGTGGACCAGTACGGGACCGTGGCATGCTAGCAATCGGTCCGCACAAACAAGCAAAGCCCCATCCTTGGGATGCAGGCAGCACACAGAAAACCGCAGAAAAACCTCTCTCCACGGAACCGGTCCTTGGTGCCCAAAAGGTTGGGGACCTCTGTTATAAGATCATTCTCTTCCACAATAAAGGTGCATTTTGTGACTCTTTTTTCTTTCTCTTCAATTAGTATGTAACTTTCATTCTAGTGCAGTGTCTTTAGCACATCAAAAAAACATCCAATTTTATAAGCATTATAAATACAACACTAGAATTAGTGTTGTATTTAAGACATACAATAGCATATAAAACGTGTTCTAAAGTGTAATTAACAAATGTGAGCTTTAAAATTTTATATATATATATATATATATATATATATATACATACATACATACATACATACACACACACACACACACACACACACACACACACACACATATATAATTTTATGGTATCAAGGTTGAATTGCTAAGATGCTTGTTAACCTTTGTAGCTGCTCGACTTGCCATAGAAATTGGGGGGAGGAGTCTGGGAAAGAAACGGGAGTTTCAGGAAGCTATCCATGGACTATGAGAAGCAAAGTCATCCAAAGCAGGTATCTGGCAGAGAAGTGGACCGGTTCCATAACAAACAGAAAGAATGTGATTGGGCAACGTGAACACATGGTAGGTGGGGGCTATGAAAAGCTGTTGTTAACTAACCAGAATTTCACTCTGGAAAACCAGAGTTCATTTTACTTCTTCACTGCCGGGATGTGTATTCAATAAAAAATTATCTCTTATGGCACCTCATGGCCGTGGAGTTTCTTTAATGTTGAATTCGCCAGAGGGAAGGTTGACACATGGTTTAAGAGCTGAGGTTGCCTACGCCTGGTTTAAGACAATATGCTTTCACCATTTTTTCACCTAGATTGATGTAATTTGGTTCCTGGAATATGGGAATGAGAAGGCATCTCCAGTTATATTAAACATCTTTTTTTCTGGTTAACAGAGGAACATGGGCATTCATAGCAAAGAAAGGTTTCATCAAAATGAAAAACATGTATCATGGTGTCATGTCACAAGCCCCACCATTTATGTACTTGTATGCAATATTACAATACAAATTCAAAAAGGGTCAAGTTTGTATGACACTTCCATTATCTCATCTCCGGTTTACAGATAAGATACCCGCATAGGAGAATATATAGAATGTTAATTTTTTGCAGCAAACAACAGTCTTATGGCAATTTCAATATGTACATTGCATGAGTTTTTGTGAATCCCAGTCCACTTCATCAAATGCAGGGAATATGATACTGAAAATATGTTGGATAAATGTCTTGATAGAGGGATTAATTCTGTTAGTTATTAGAAATGTAGGTTTGATCTATGTGACTGATGGATTATAAATAGATCTCAGCTTTTGTCTTGGTTAAAGAGAGAATCACAGGAGTTTTTGCATTATGTTTCATGCATTATGTACTTTGGATATCCAACCTATGTGTTCCCTTTGCTCAGGAGTAATCATAAAATTGTTTTCAATGTTTGGAAGAAGTCTATCCTTGAAGCCTCTGTTCTGTTACTTCTGTAACATATAAATGGTTTTAAAGTTTTTCCAAGTTAGTTGGAAAAGAGAGAAAAAATTACTTACCTGTGGTACAGGTAGTCCTCAATTTACAACTGTAATTGAGCCCAGAATGAAGTTGTGCCAGTCATAAACCGGATCAACGCACCTAATTTTACAAACTCTTTTGCAGCTGTTGTTAAGCAAATATCAAGGTCGTTAAGTAAGCCTGTTGTACCTAGTGGGTGTTTTTTTGCCAGGAAATCGAAGTAAAAATCAATTTATAGAAAAAAAACAACATAAATCACGGTCCATGAGTGTGCGATGCTACAAACAGCCATAAATGTGGGCTGGTTGCCAAACACCCAAAATGCAATCACATGACTGTGGGAAGAGGAGGCATCGGAACTTCAAAACTGGGTCATAAATAATTCTAGGAAAGTTCATTGTAATTTTAAATGGTCACTAAACAACTGGTCGTAAGTTGAGGACTACCTATACCAGTGAAAAAGAGAACTTTGAAAAAGTTCCTAACAGAAGAACAGAACAGAATAGAGATAAAAACTCCTTTCCATAAAAAGTGCTTTATGTTCATTCGGCCATTTGTTTTGCTCCTTTCTTCACCCTTATCAAGTTGCTTTATCTATATCAGTGGTGGTGAACCTATGGCACGGGTGCCAGAGGCGGCACTCAGAGCCCTCTCTGTGGGCATGTGCGCCGTCGCCCCAGTCCTAGGCCTTCAGCTGGGTTTTATAAAACCTTTTCGCTTTAGGCCTCCGTTGCCGTGTGCAAAAAAAAAGGTTCAATCAATCAATCAATTTCAACTTCTCGCGGAAAAAAAAGATCTTGCAAAGTTGGAATTGATTGATTGAACTTTTTAGTCCCATCCAGTCTGCCGTTACCACCGAAGCCATGCCCACCCAATTGGCCATACCCACCCAGCACCCGACGATGCATAAGTGGGTTTTGGTTTGCAGTTTGGGCACTCAGTCTCTAAAAGGTTTGCCATCACTGATCTATATACTATATTGTTGATAAATTAAATGCCAATTTAGTTAAATGCCATAATTTAAATTGTTACTATGTTACAATTGCAGTGAAAAAAACAAATGCTATATTAGATGTTTTAAATAGATTTTCTAATGTGTTTTCTAATGTTTTTGAATGTAAATACCTTTTACAGTTTTATAAACTAAAGAAAATTTAAAAGAAAGTCTTGTGAAAAAATGGTTATTTGGTACATTGCTAATTAGTGCTCCATTAATCTAAGGTTTTTCTGTAAAATATAGAAACACATGATTTTTGCAATGCAGTTGTCAAAATTGTCTACTATATTTATTGTCTGAACCACATTTGTTAAACCTTATGCAGATACTTAAATCAGATAATTTAATTGTTTTTCTCTTATTTAACAGATACATTTGCATTTTCTTCTCTTGGTTGGAATATTAAATTGCCTCATACCGTATGGATTTGCCCAACAAAGTAAGTGGAATAATTTTAAAATTTGAATTCATATAGATTACATCCATTCTGAATTCATCTGGAAAGCATTGTATTCTTTTTTAACAACTGGAATCATGGCTGTGTTGACACAGGATAAAGAAATCAGCACTGATTTCTTTCCTGGAAAGGGAATGAGCTTTATCTTCTAAATAATGCTCCAGGGCACCTGAAGGATTTTAAATTATTTTAGAAAACTTGGAACTGTTGTGTCACTCAGGTCTCATAAAATTCTGTGCATTCTCTATTCTTCCAGTAAGGTAAACTCTTATATTTTAATCTTCTGGACAATTAATAAAACACAAGGAAATATAACCCTAAAACTTCCTATCCAGATTTTTTACATGTAAAAATTTCAGCCAGTATTTATTCTACTCGGTGTTGATTTTCATTGTGCATAAAGCTAAATATATGGCACAGTCAGTTACGCACACAAATATTAATTTGATTTCTCTAAATGGAGCTGCCTTCCATATAAGAAATGACTTTTACAGTAACACTAATAATGCTACATGGTGAATAGTTGGAATGTGGAGAAAGACATGTACTAATTATAACTTAAATTAAATCTTTGATTGCATTTTTACAAAATCTGATCATTTGTTTCTTATAGGTGGGAGCATTTGTATAAATGCTAATGCAAAATCATGTGCTGATTGTATACAAGCTGGCCCAGATTGTGGATGGTGTAAAAATATAGTACGTATTTTAACTATTTCAAAACAGTATTAGCATTAACATAATTTATAATTGTGTAATTAATTCAAATTATGTATTGTTATGAATTTACATGATTTATATTTATAGATATGTATAAATTTGGTAATTACAGGTAGTCCTTGACTTAAGAATACAATTGGAACCAGAATTTCCTAGACTGTACAGTTGTTAAGTCATGCCTGATTTTATGACTGTTTTACTGCAATTATTAATCAAATTTGGCTTCCTCTATTGCAGGGGTCTTCAAACTTGGCCCTTTTATTACTTGTGCACCTACACTCCCAGAATTCCTCAGCCAGCGTCCTGAGCAGGCTGGCTGAGCAGCCAGTCTACAAGTCATAAAAGGGCCAAGTTTGAAGACTCCTGCTCTATTGACTTTGCTTGTCAGAAGTTGCTAGGAAAGTTGCAGATGACTGTCATGTGACTTTGGGATGCTGCAACTGTTGTAAATGCATGTCAGTTGCTAACACCTGAAGCACAATGATTGTGGGAATGTTAAAATGATCATAAGTGCAAAGACCGGGTTGAAAGTCACTTTTTTCAGCAACATCATAACTATGAATAGCCATAAGTTGAGGACTACCTTTAGATGTTGTTCTGGAGATGGCTTGGAGGAGAGCCTCCTATTAATAAAAAAATAGCATGATAAAAATTAAAACTGCAATCCTATTATCTCATGAGATAACATAGAAAGGAGAAACAAGAAAGGATTTGCTCACAGCAGCCTGCTAGCCACAGTAGAAGACCAGGCGCTTCATAGACTGCAATTCAAACCTGCGTAAAGGATGTCAAGTAGAGAAGGCCCTTGAAAAAGATCTGAGACCTATAGATTAACAGCATTAATCAATCTTGTATTTTTCAAGCAACTTTGTTTTTCTGGGCCATCAAGTAAATGTTCATCTCCCTTCTCCCAGTCTTCTCTGACTGGAGTGTCCCTTGTTAATACCTTGGCAACATACTGTTGGCTGTGGCTATCTGAAGATAAGACATCATTTTGAAGTCTAGGAATTGGATAAGAATATCAATTTTCTGCTCAAAACCAGAAAATATTTGTGGAATTGTTCTAATCTGGCCATAGAGTGGGCTAGAAATGTGACAAAGCACATTAAATACTAAATGTAGGTTGTCGCAGGAAAACAAGCTTTTTTTCTTCTTTTTATGATCCTATAGTCCTTAATTCAGGATAGAGTTGAGGTGACTGGGTGGAGCTGAGCAATTACTGGCCAGATGCCCTTCCTGAGGCCTATATGGAATTGGCAGCAGATATTTTTTCTTTACGCTCTAAGAAACATCTTCCACTACCTGGAACTCTCAAACTTCCAAGTGGGAGGAGAGTGCCTTTACCACTAGGCCATTACACTCCTCAAAAACAAGCAAAAAAATAATTATCAAAAATCTTTGCTGGATTTGTGGAAAGATACTATGGCTAACATATGCATTTCATTTTTCTCACTAGATCCATACACCTCACTATGTTGTGTTAGATTAATCATGTGCTTTAGAAGTAAATTATGTCTTAGTATGATAGAATAATGTGATGGTGGAAATGGTAAGCAATGGAATCTAAATTTAAAGTCACTCAGTCTCTTTCAATAGCAAGATGGGCAGCATATAAATTTAATTAATTAAACTGCTCTATATCTCATAAAAATGTGAGATAAAATTAGAGCTTACATAGATCCAGTTTCAAAGGGCAAAATGAGACACAGTCATAAACCTACCAGGAGCATTTTAAAGCAGCTGTATCTTTTCTTGGGTAGCTGAATAATCCTAGAAAAAAAGATAATTGGTTTAAGGTATTCCCAACAGGTGAATTCTGTCTATGTACCAAATCACATTTTATCCTTTAAATTTGGGTCTCACACAACCAGGAAAAGAAAAAAAATGGATTAAATCTAATTTGAATTCATTATATCAGTTTCAGCCATGGGGCTTCATGATTGTTCACATGGAAAGGAACAATATGTTCTGGCATCAGGTCCAGCTTTTACTACTGAGTAGGCCTACCCTTTATCCTATTTTTAAGTTCCTATTAGCAGTCTTAAGAAAAGCATGCTCATTCCTTTGATCTTACTACCCAACAATCAATTGTTTTCCAGGATGATTGGATGGAGAATCCACGAGTGGATTTTCTTAATCTTTCTGCTCAAATTAGACTAAGTCTGGAAAGTTGCCACGCCTCTGCTGGGCTAGAGTACCCCAGTTTACGACTTAGTCTCTTGCTCAGCAGACACGTAAATTGTACTCCTTTCCAGAATTAGCAGCAGGTTGTATGATTCCCTCGTGGATTTTCCTTTTTTCATAACAATAATCAGAATAATTAGAATTCAATTTGGACAAATTTTCCATAAAATTCAAATTTGGACAATTGTGTAGCGCTACCTCCTCAGAGGCCGCCAATGCCCAGGCCCTCCCGGCCACGTCCCCCCCTTGTCCAGCCTTGCAGCAATGTTCTTTAGAGATCGATGAGATGTCTTACAACCAGAACTCACGCAGCATTAATGGGTGGCAGGCTCTTCTTGTTGAAGCAGGACTTTCAGGCACGAACTATTGGTCAGTGTCACCAACTATGAGACTTCTACATATATTGTCGAGTCCCGACGAAATCGCCGTCCTCATTGTCCGGGGACTCGTTAGCAAGTCTTAGGCTACTTTACCCCCCCCCATTTGGGGCCGTGGTCTAGGTAATAATAACAACGACGGCCAGTATGTTATGGCAATGGCTCATCCCCCAGGGCAACTCCCCTCCGCAATGTCCCAGCACCTATGCCAGCAGCGATGGCCACAGACCAGATGCCTCCAAAGTCCACAACAACAGTTGGCAGCAACAGTTGGCACCACCAGTCTCTCTCCTCCTGGTGCTTCTTCTCTAGGATTCTTCTTCAGGTTTCAGGATTCAAAAACCACCCCCCTCCCTTACTCTTTATTGTTAAAATCCGAGGCTAGGAACCCCAACCAACTCCCTTACTTCACACTCTCGCCTGCCTCCGCCTCAGACATCCTCCCACGGAGGAAGCAATAAAACTTCACTCTATCTAGCCCCTATTTAAAATACCCTTGATAGAAAAATAAAATAAGCTTCCAGACCTTCCCTTCTCAATTCCAACCAACCCCGGCCTTCTCCTTTTCTTCCCTTTTCTATCCTTCCTCCTTCCACTCACGCCAGCCACACCCAAGCCAACTGCAGCTGTCCCAATCTTCCCCTTCCCAATCAAGCTCCTGCAAGCACTCTCGGGCAGTCCCCGCTACAATTGCATTGGTGTTGAGGAAAGTTCCTATCCTGCCTTCAGGGCTTCCCTGCAGGCTATAGCCTGCCAACAATTAGGGACGGCTTGCCTTACACGCAAGTCGTTCTGAATGGACAGTTGGCAGCTTCCCTGTTTCTACTGAACAGAATATTACTTCCTGTTGACTTTACCACTTAGAACTCCCCATCTTTTTTTATCTTTCCTCAGCAATATACTATTTCTTCTGATTCTGATGAATTAACATACTTAATATGTTCTTTGTACTTGGTTAGCTTATACTATAAGGCTGAACATTGGTTTAAGTTGCCATCATACTCCAACTGGCTTTGATACCTGTCAGTTCTGATAGAAAAGTGATGGTCATTTTCATCACAGTTACCTGATACATACAATCTGTCATACCTTAGAGCTGTATTAAGATGAAATAGAATGCTCAAACAAGGGTTTGATATTGTAGTTGTATCTATTCTGTCACAATTATGGCCCAATCCAACCTCATTGCCACCTATTCCATAACACCTAGATGATTTTTATAGAATGTATCCGAATAATCTTATATTCTTCACCTACACCAACAATTGAATAGATAATTGTAGAGGCAATTCAGTTTCAGTTGACTAAAAGGATAGGAAACCTAATGGCACAGGATAGATATATTGAGCTAGCATTCTGCTCTTATTATGTTTATTTAATTTATATCCCACCTTTATAGTTTTTGTAAATGTGTCAAAGTAGTAAGCATATCTATCTCCTATGTGCTAGACCATTATCAAATATTTTATGGGACAAACCTATTCTGATTTTGGATCATTTGTTGGTAATACTAAGAGGAAAATTGTTAATGTTTTGCAAAAATAAACTTTACACTAATTGGCATATCAGCAAATCATTGCCATTAAACATCACATAGACCAGGGGTGTCAAACTCAATTTCATTGAGGGCCGCATCAGCATTGTGGTTGTCCTCGGTGGGCCGGGGGGGCATGGCTTGCATGGGCATCGCCTACTGGGTGGGCATGGCCAGCTCAACGTCACTCGCATCAGGCAGGACTGAAGCAGATCTGAGGTCTCTGGTGGAGGGGGTAGGTGGGACCGAGGCGAGTGCCAAGCCATGGTCCACTGGAGGAAACTCACTGAGCCTCAGGCTATGCAAGGGGCCCCTGGATGGTGGCACAGACTGCCCGGAACCCTAGGCAGCGGAGGTCAAGTGCCCAGCCTGGCCCTTGAGCTCCCATGGCACCAGGACCCCACAGCCCTGCCTAGCCTAGCCAAACTTCCCCGAGGAGGCACCCAACTGCACTTAACCTCCTCCTCAAGGTTGCTGCTGCTGTGCTCGCTCTACTTGGCCAGATTGCTCATGGTGGGTGCAGGAGAGCAAAGTGCATGGGTCAAAGGGAGACCCACTCCCTCTCCATCCAAGGAGACCTGGCTTTGTAACCAAAGCATTCTCAGCAATAGGATGGGACACCACCAGGAGATGGCAAAACGGCAGCAGGGCTGCTGGTGGCCAAGTGCTAAGGCAGGACTTCCCTCAGATCCTTGCTCTCTCTTATTCCAATCTCTTTCCTTCCTCCCTCCCTGCCTCCCTCCTTTTCATTCCCATCTCCTTACTTCTTTCCCTTTCTTTCTTCCTGTTTCCCACCCGTCCTTCCTTCCTTCCCTCCCTCCTTCTCTCTGTGCCCAGGAAGGGATGAGGGGAGGGGGAGAGGTTGGCAACACTTCTCTCAAAGA